CTTCAGCATCAGTCCTTCCAATGAATATTCAGGACTGATTTCCTTTAGGATTGACTGGTTGGATCTCCTTGCAGTCCAAGGAACTCTCAAGAGTCTTCTCCAACACCACAGTTCTAAAGCATCAATTCTTCGGCCCTCAGCTTTCTTTATATAGTCCGACTCTCACATCCATACATGACTACTGGAAAAAACATAGCTTTGACTAGACAGACCTTTGCAAAGTAATGTCTCTGCTTTTTAATATGCTGTCTAAGTTGGTCATACCTTTTCTTCCAAGGAGCGTCTTTTAATTTCACAGCTGCATATGAGTTAAATTCACTCATTCCAGTCCATTTTAGGTCTCTGAGTCCTAAAATGTCGATGTTCACTCTTGCCATCTCCTGTTTGACCATTTTCAATTTGCCTTGATTTGTGGACCTGACATTCCAGGTTCCTATACAATATTGCTCTTTAAAGCACTGGACTTGGCTTTCATCACTAGTCACATCCACAACTGGGTGTTGTTTTTGCTTTGGCTCTGTCTCTTCATTCTTTCTGGGGTTATCTCTCCACTGATCTCCAGTAGCATATTGGGCACCTACTGACCTGGAGAGTCCATCTTTCAGGGTCCTGTCTTTTTGCCTTTTCATACTGTTCATGGGGTTCTCAAGGCAAGAATACTGAAGTGGTTTGCCATTCCCTTCTACAGTATATAATGTTATAAGAATACATAATCACATAGGGGTCAAGGAAGATGATGAAATTAACAGTTTCTTGGCAAGGCAAGGTTACCTAGGGAAGTTTAGTTCCATACAGTCTTCTCCAAAGAGAACTAAACCACATTTACAGGAGATAGGCAAAGGGACAGTCCATTTTCCTGCTAATTACTTTGCTTGCTCAGTCACTTCAGTCATGTCTGACTCTTTGCAACACTGGACTGTAGCCCGCCAGGCTTTAGTTTATGACAAGTATGTATAGCTAAACAGCTCACATCTTTTTCATAAGTGGATATAAGATATAGTTTGCCTGGAAACTATTAACTGTATAGCTAGCATCCTATTGTTAAGCACACCTAACCATAGCCCTAGGCAGTTGTTCTCCTAGGTTAGAAGACTCAATCCTCATTCCTAGATTCTTTTGTCTAGTTAATCCTTACTGAGCAACTAACACTAACTACTAACTATATTAATAATATGTTTTTGGCTGTAATTTTGTGCAACTTCTGATCACACAAATATTCTTCAGTTCTCCCACTAAACATCCTTTATAATGTCTACAGACTTCAACCAATTCCTAGTTGCCTGCTGATCATACTGTTTCTTCCACCATGTCCTTAATATCCACTGTGATATAGTTCCTTCATTTCTGTTATTACTGTTTGTTATTATTATTTGTTCTCAGGCCAGACTAACGCTGTCATATTTTTAATCAGTCATTAATAGCCAAAGGGCTCTGCAAAACACAAAATAACAGAGGATGGAGATGACAAGGTTAACTTGCAACCATGTGAGGCAGAGAGCTTACAAGCTAAAACAAGAAGCTCAAAGTGTTAGCTGCTCAGTCATATCCAACTCTTTGCAGCTCCACAGACTGTAGCTCACCAGGCTCCTCTGTCCATGGGATTCTCCAGGTAAGAGTACTGGAGTGGGTAGCCACACCCTTCTCCAGAAGATCTTCCCAACCTAGGGACAGGATCTGGGTCTCTGGCACTGCAGGCGGATTCTTTACTGTCTCAGTCACCAGGGAAGTCCAAGGTAAAGCATGTCAGTCGCTCAGTTGTGTCCCAACTTTTGTGACCACACAGGACTGTAGCCCACCAGCCTCCTCAGCCCACGGAATTCTCCAGGCAAGAACACTGGAGTGGGTAGCCATTCCCTTCTCCAGGGGATCTTCCAGACCCAGGGATTGAAGCCAGGTCTCCTGCATTGCAAGCAGATTTTGTACTCCCTGAGCCACAAGTTAAAGCATATAGGTCACTAAAGCTTACTGACCAAGAGGGTACAGTCTGGCTCTCACATGCTGAGAAAAAAAACATTCAGAGCACAGAGAACAATGATCAATCCCAGGGTACTGTGATGTACTCCTACATACATATAGTTTTTCACTGAAAACTTATCAGACACATGTAACATTAGCACTACAGGGAAGCATTAAAACAGGACACATATACTTCCCCTGTCAACAGTGATCACATTTTATTTTATTACTGCTTCTCACCTATCTTTTCCCCTAAATCATAACTGAGGAAATAAGAACTCTCTATTGTGCCCTCTACTTGTACATAGCACATGCCTGGGACATAGCTGGCATTCAAATATTCACTGAATAGATGAAATATTTACAAACGTTTGCTGAAAAATTTTCATAATTTGGTAGAAATACTTCCTCAAAAACTTATTTTTGCATTCTTTACACAAACATACAAAGTCATAGTAACTGCTAAGCCATCTAATTCTATCAATTCTACCACCTTTAACTATTAGTATTTTCACATTATGTTCACTCATTCAGAGGTTACCTACAATCATACTGGTGTTGCCATTCTGCCTGCAAATTAGGCACAGGTTTGTCTTCTTAACCTTTTTATTTTTTTTTTTTTTCCATTTATTTTTATTAGTTGGAGGTTAATTACTTTACAATATTGTAGTGGGTTTTGTAGTGAGTTACATGTATTCCCCATCCCGATCCCCCCTCCCACCTCCTCTCCATCCCATCCCTCTGGGTCTTCCCAGTGCACCAGGCCCAAGCACTTGTCTCATGCATCCAACCTGGGCTCGTGATCTGTTTCACTATAGATAATATACATGTTTTGATGCTGTTCTCTCGAAACAATTTGAATCAGTTCTAATGAGATGGATGAAACTGGAGCCCATTATACAGAGTGAAGTAAGCCAGAAAGATAAAGAACATTACAGCATACTAACACATATATATGGAATTTAGAAAGATGGTAATGATAACCCTATATGCAAAACCTTTTTATTTCTATACCTCTTCTACTCTGGTCTTTATGATGACTAGACGTGTCTCATCATCTCACGATGATATCAGTGAAACTTCATGGAATGTGGAGAGGTTAGCCTCAAAACATCTCTAGTCTAATAATCTGAAAAATACTTATTTGCAAATCTTTAGACCAGAGACTTCATCATAACTTAATAAACAAAGGGAAGAACAGCATTAGTATCCATTATTCCCTTAAGAAAACAGACTGGTCAGCTGCATAGAAACTGGTGTTCCATCCCAAGTTGACCATTTCTCCCAGAAACTAAAGCTCTTTATGGACTGAGAACTGTATTTTCCCTGCTCAGGGAGGACTTAAATGCCCCAAAACATTATAGCCATTCCGGCTGAAAAGATTTCTCTGCTGACTTCCAAATACAGCAGCTCTTCTTACATCCTCATATTTTTGTTCATGCACACATATCCTATTCTCATCTGCCCAGTGAAATTCTAAGTATCTGTCAAGTTGTTACACAATTCCTTTCCAGGCTACAGTCATCTTAAATACACTGGTATCTAACTACACTTCATCTTAGAATTTCTGATATAATTGAGTAACAAATATTTGATTTTAATATATAATCTCTACCATTTAATGTGGAATATATATCCAGTAAGATTATTACTTCCTATTCCACGTCTCCTATTTAGCACTTACAACAGTGTTGAGCACAGAGATGATCTTTAATATTGTAAATAACATTAACTTGTTTAATGACCTTTTACTCTCCATTGTGGCTTTATCACAGATCATCAACCAATGGGACTGATTAGCTTAGAAACAATCACCAATGCTTTGCACACCTAAACTTTCCTCCTTAACTTAACATCCATAAATGCTAGACTTTCTTATTTGACTCTCTCTTCATTGCTGATCTATTCTGCAACAGATGAACACCTGCTTCTTCTATACTGTAAATCATAAATTGAGTTTCTAATAAAAATAACAGTTAAAAGCCAAATTTTCCAGTAAGACAGTAAGGTTTATCGGAGAGGGAGAGGGCCCTAAAGTGACCTTTTCGCAGGGAAAACTCCTTAATTATCAGACTTCAAAAAAAAATATTTCTTGGTGGTTTTCTCTTTATAAATGCCTGTCCCACCTCCCCTACCTAACCCCAATGTCAGTTCCTTCTATCATTACCCAAAAAACAGGCAGTGAAAGGGAGACATTATTGGGGTTCTGAGTTCCTTGGGCAATTAGAAAGGAAAAAGAAATCAAAACAATCACTAGATGTGATACAGACTAAAACTCAAGAAGTCAAGCAGAGTTGCTTGCCTGAGAAACCGCTGCAAGTGGTATTACCAAAGAGTAATACCAGGAGTAAATTGCTGCAAGTGGTATTACCTAAGAGTTTACCTCTATCAATGGTTGCTAAACTTTAATGCAGAATTACTCAGGGTGCTCACGATTATTTCCTAAATATCATCTCCACAGACTGTCAGGGAACAAGCCTAGGAATTTGCATTTTGGAGAAACACTTCAGCTGGCTCTGATATAGAAGATCCATGTACCCAACTTTGAACTGTAAGAGCCTTTTCCTTATATGTGATATTTATGCCAACACTTGTTACCTTCCACTGGTAATGGGGGAACACTTCAGAAAAGGTATCTTCAAAACTAAAATAGCTAACCACACTATCCAATAGTTAGCCTTAGAATATTAATGAACATTCTTAGTTGACTCAAATCTATTTTAATAATACTCAGTGCTTGAACAGAATATAAATATTATATCTGATTTGGTAATTCACAAAGAATTGGAGACTTATCTTATTGGTCAAGGAGAACTATCTGAGTTCAAGTTATCAACAATGGCATTCTTTTTTTGCTTTTAACTTTTTGGCTGTATGGCATGCAGCAACTTAGTTCCCTAACCAGAGATCAAACCTACGCCCCTGCAGTGGAAGCAGGAAGTCTTAACCACTAGACTGCCAGCAAGTCCCCAGTAATAGCATTCTTTTGAAACTAAGTATATGCATTTTCAAATAAAGTTAAAAAAAAAAAATGTTGTACCTCGTAAAGTCTGGTGGAACAGGAGTGGTAACAAAGGATGCCATAGGCTTTCGATGAACTTGCTGAAACATCATGAGGATCTCTGAGCTCTTAGATATCAATTCACTCTTACTACAAGACCGCAACTGTGAGGAAAAAAAAATATTTGAATAAACAAAATTACGATCCACTGGCACACCCAAGATCCTTAAAGGAAATGTTAAGTTATTTTGGTTATATACTGAAAAAAGTGACATGAATAAAATTACAATGATTCTTTGAAACTGGGTTTGAAAGTTGATAAGTAAAGGATCTAGGTTGATTGATTTCCATTGTAATAGGAAAGTTATTCAGTAAATATATTTGATTTTAATGTATTTTTCTCTCTGTATATTAGCATAAATCCAATTCTAAGCAACTACAATATATTTGTATATCTTATACATGTATATTTATATTTTAGAGTGGTATAGTGAAGCCATTATGTATAAAGAACAAACCTCTAGAAGTCACTGACCTTCAAACATGGATTTCTCAAATTACACTCCAGGGAATTGAGAAATGTTAAGACCTAACACAAAAAAAAGTCTTAACCTCTATCAATTCGGGAAACATTAAGTCAAACCAAAGGTAAAAAGTGAGACATTCAACTTTAGCAAAATCAGCATGGTAGTTAAAAGACTACTAACTTTGTATTCAAGCCACCAGTTTAAAGTCCCAGTGCTGCCACACATCAGCTCTGTGGCTTATGAGTCTGCTGTGTAAAACTGGAATCATACCCACTGCTGCTTGCTTTGCTAAGTTTGTTACATCAACCATGAAGCTGTGAGACAGCTCTGTAGATACCTGCTATTGGCTGAACTGTATCCCCTCCCTAAACTCATACGTTGCAGCCCCAACCGCTAGCACCTCAGAGTGTAACTACAGTTGGAAAAAAGTCCTTCAGAGGACATAAAGAGAAGGCAGCCATCTGCACACCAAAGAGAGAGGTCTCAAAGAAAACCAAACCTGCCAACATCTTAATCTTGAACTACCAGCCTCCAGAACACTGAGAAAATACATGTGTTGTTTAAGGCTCCTAGTCTTTGTTATGGAAACCCTAGCAAACTAATACACTATCAAGTGCCAAATGGATGATATTTGTAAAACCCACAACTGGGTTATGTCTTTTAACAGATAGTTGCTTATAGTTCACCAAGAATAATAATATGACATAATTGATATCATGATAAATACCAAAATTTGTAACTTTTATTCAAATATTTATTGAATGTATACTATGTGTATCCCTTTGACATTTCCTCCAAAGGCAGACTTTTAAACAGACATTTTTCATAAGGTGAAGGTAGTTCCTTCTACTCTTAGTTTCCTGAATAATCTGGAAATGAATGAGCATCAAATATAACTGAATGTTATTTTTAAAATTAATATTATTCTATTCATTTTTACTTACATGTGCTTGTGGTTTTAGCCTACAGTCTCTTGAGTTACAATGAAGAGACTTTTCTGATAATGCAACATTCCTTTGATTAACTCTACCAAGTCTTGCTTTCTTGTTTTACTACATATCCTACTGATTTTGCTTTGCCAGTATTTAAGATTTTGACATTTCTGTTTGCAACAGAGTTGGGCTTTAATTGTGTTTTTTCATATTGTTCTTATGCTGACTGGTTATGAAATACATTTTCTCGTTTTATTTATTTCTGACTGCACTGGGACACTGGATTGCTGTGTGCGGGCCTTCTCTACTTGCAGTGAGCAGATCGAGTCTCTAGCTGCAGTGCACTGGCTTCTCATTGCTTCTTTTGTCATGCAGCATGGGTGCCAGGGTGGGCAGGCTTCAGTAGCTGTGGCACTTGAGCTCCATAGCACAGGCTCAGTAGCTGTGGCATGCAGGCTTAGTTGCACCATGGCATGTGGAATCTTCCTAGGCCAGGGACTGAACCCATGTCCCCTTCACTGGCAAGTGGACTACCAAAGAAGTCTAATCCATTTACATTTATTTACATTTTTTACATTTATTATTTATTACATTATTTACATTTATTATTACTGACAATAATGCCATCAACTAATGACAATACATAAAATAAAGAAAAATACTGAACCCAAAAATAACCAAAAAATTTAAAAATGAAACCAACAAAGGAACAAAGAACAGGTAGAACCAAGAAAACAGCAAGATAGTAAATTCAAACAGTACCAAATCAATGAGCACACTAAACATCCCAGTAAAAAGTCAAAGATTGTCAGAAAGGATTAAAAAATGAGACCCAATTGTATATTGCCTACAAGACATGTTTAAGAACAAATTTATTAAAAGAAAACCGACAGAATAAGATAAGACATGGTAAAACACTAGTTAAAAGGAAGTTTAAATGACTTTTTTTTTTAATGATTTTTATATCAAATAAACTAGATTTGAAAGCAAACAGGTCTTTCACAGAGATAATGGAAACAGTTCATCAAGGGACTATAACAATCCTAGATGTTTATGCCCCGACTACTATGGCTTCAAAATACATGAAGTAAAAACCAATAGAACTGCCATAATACACAAATTATGGGATGACCTCTGAGAATTTGAATACTCCCCTCTCAATAACTGGTGAAGCGGGGGGGCAGAAAACCCACAAGGATATAGTACACTTGAACATCAGTATCAACCAACGTGACCTGACATTACAGCGTATCAGAAAAATCCCTAAATAACTGGAACCTAAGGAACATACTTCTGTAGAACCCATGTGTCAAAGAAGTCACAAAGGATGTAAGAATGTGCTTCAAGCAGAAAGGTCTCAAATCAATAACCCCAGCTTCAATCCTAACATTTTAGGGGAGAAAGAGCAAATCAACCTGAAGACTATACACATGGACAGAAGGCAATGGTACCCCACTCCAGTACTCTTGCCTGGAGAATCCCAGGGATGGGGAAGCCTGGTGGGCTGCCGTCTATGGGGTTGCACAGAGTTGGCCACAACTGAAGCAACTTAGCAGCAGCGGCAGCAGCATACACACGGACACCACCAGATGGTCAACACCAAAATCAGACTGATTAGATTCTTTGTAGTGAAAGATGAAGAAGCTCTACACAGTCAGCAAAAACAAGACCGGGAGCTGACTGTGGCTCAGATCATGAACTCCTTATTGCCAAATTCAGATTTAAATTGAAGAAAGTAGTGAAAACCACTAGACCATTCAGGTATGACCTAAATCAAATCCCTAACCATTATACAGTGGAAGTGAGAAATAGATTTAAGGGACTAGATCTAATAAGAGTGCCTGATGAACTATGAACAGAGGTTCATGACATTGTACAGGAGACAGGGAGCAAGACCATCCCCAAGAAAAAGACATGCAAAAAGGCAAAATGGCTGTCTGAGGAGACCTTACAAATAGCTGTAAAAAGAAGAGAAGTCAAAAGCAAAAGAGAAAAAGGAAAGATATACCCATTTGAATGCAGAGTTCCAAAGAATAGCAAGGAGAGATAAGAAAGCCTTCCTCAGTGATCAGTGCAAAGAAATAGAGGAAAACAATAGAATGGGAAAGACTAGA